CAATTGGATCCCTGACAGGAGGAGCGGGTGCGTTTCTCCTCGGAAACTGCCATACGACGGAGTGCTTCTTTGAGCACGTCGTACGGGTTGTGCACAGGAATATTCATGTAAGTATCCCTGAAATTGATAAGCATGTCGCGCGGGATCGCGGACAACAGATTATGATAACGGGACGGTTGCCCGGTGATGCGAGCTTCATGGAATCGCGATTCCAGAAGTACGAGGAACGTTTCCGGATCCTCCGGCATGAACTCAGGAGCCTTGATTTGGGCCCAGAGTGCTTCGCTGTCTATGGAGTGCTTATGATCGGGGCTAATCATACTTAAGCATAATATATAATATGCGATTTTAGAACGGGCTACAAAAATATTACCGAATAGCACCTAAAATAAAAACTACGTTGGAAAAACGAAAGTGGACAAAAATGCAATAGTAAATGATGACAAAACCGCGAACTGGGGGTAAGTAGGATCTAAAATTATGTACACGGGAGTGTTTCCGTGAAAGTAAATACGCGGACAATTAAGCACAAACGTGACCTAGAGGAATTAAAATTCCTCCGAAAACAAAAATTTTCCAACGTTAATAAAATCAAATAAGGACTCACGAATTTGTATGAACTAGGTTATCGGTACCCCGAGCTTATACGTATAGGTCCAAACGTTACGTTCGTACGAGAAGAGAACGAGGCAAGATTCACGACGGAGGACGACGTGTATTGTAAAGACCTGCAGAGCAAGGGAGAGATACAGAGGCGTGAGCGAGCGTGCGGAAAGTCAAGGCAAACACGTGCTGACCAAAGAGGTGGCCTTGGTGTGATAAAACAATGAGATGCACAGGAGGAAGGGTATATTGAGAACGGGATGTGAATAGTTACTACACAGTAACATGCAGACGGGCTGAGGTTTTTGTCGCCTGTATAAGTCAGTTGTTGGCCCACACATGGAATATTGTGTGCAGGCATGATCACCGTATTACAGAAGGGATGTATCATGTTTAGAAAGAGTGCAGCGCCCAGCTACCCCAATGGTGGCTGGGCAAAAGCGGAAGACCTATGGGCAGCGGTTGAGAGATCTCGACCCCTTTTCGCTGGAGCGTAGTAGGGTGAGGGGAGATTTGATAGACTTTTGAACTTTTAAGAGGTCTATCGGGACTCAACCTAGATGACTTGTCTACGATTTCTTGTTCTCAAAACACGAGAGGTCATGGCTATAAACTTCAGCATAACCACGCCAGGTTGGAAGTACGGGCCAACTTTTTCGCACACAGGGTCATACCTATGTGGAACAGGTTACCCGCGGAAGTTGTCAACTGTTCCAATATAAATGCCTTCAAGGTGGCCCTGGACGCATGTTGGTCAGCAACGTTCCCCGAAGTTAGTATTTAGAGTGGGAACATAAGGAATAAATTCGACTTTAGCCGGAAGCTGTTCAAATGTTGCAAACTGGGGCTTGAATGATAGAATTATTCTAAAACTGACTATCCTGTCACATGTGATCTGTGTATACGAACGCATGTGTACTTAAGGTATCAAACCAATGAGACAAGGAGATATGCTTGCTTGCTTTCCTCCC